TACCATTTATATGGTAAAATCGGTGTTTTAATGTATTTTAAGTTTAATGTTTTGTCTATTTGATTAGTTCATTTACGTACTGCGTGTCTTGTTATCTTATAGTTACCTGTTTGTCAATAATTACATGTTAACATTATATGGTAACAGAAATATTTCTTCAATAAATTATACCCGTACAACCCCGATACAAATGAATCCGGAAGTTGACGCGTTCCAAGCGGTAATCAGGACAATATTTGGGATGAAAACAATTTCGAATGCCTTTCAAGAACTTATTTGAGTATATACCAATGTGTCAATGTGCATGTTACTTTATCTAATAAATTATACAGTTGTTGCAAGTTTTAGATTTTGTATAGAACGTTTGATAAAACTGCTCGCTGCAACAAGCACATACATTGTGCAAATTTCTACGTTTTATGAGGTAAACAATAGTGAATATCTTTTCTTGCATAATTTTTTGTGTATCAACACTTTAAAGGGCATAAGCTACGAGATATATAAAAAATCTGAAATATTTATTTTGTTTAATCATTAATGAAAGTGCAATAGTGAAATAATAATTTGCTTTTAGCAGCCAGTATGGTTCAGTTTTGTCAAAATAAGCCTAAAAACATTCATGCTTACCCATCCGGAGCACCCGAGATCACCCCCAGTTTTTTGGTGGGGTTCGTGTTGCTTAGTCTTTAGTTTTCTATTTTGTGTCATCTGTACTATTATTTGTCTGTTTGTCTTTTTATTTTTGGCCATGGCGTTGTCAGTTTGTTTTTGATCTATGAGTTTGACTGTTCCTCTGGAATCTTTCGTCCCTCTTTTATGGTGAACTATTCAGTTGCAAGTGAATAATTCGACCTCATTGAATCCGTATTCATGTGAACTTAATCCATTAGCTAGAGATGGATAACGCATGAACTGTGTGTGTTAAGTTATTTAATGGGAAAGAATGTTAACATCGAAAGTGAAACAAAGGTAAATCAATTGATTGACTGGGTCGATCCACAAAACATCATTCTTATACAGGTAATAACGATGATTAACATTTATTTTTAATCAATAATATGAAATTAAACAGACCTAGAAAATTCAAATGTACGATTTACCTATCTATCATTATCTGTATTTATATTTTTATATCGCCTATAAGAACATTGGAGGTCTTCGGAGGTTAACTCAATCGTTAATTAGATGGCGTCTAGACTAAATACTCACGAAACTAAGCTACATATTCTCGAGCCTATGTCCTGTAAATTGATTATTTTAGACTTTTAATAATTTGGAAACATTGTTTTACATTGTAATAAATCAAAGTATCAAAATTTGAGTCAAATTGGTGAACATGTAATTGACAGCAGCTGCCACTTTAAAAGTATAAATTCTTCGCTGTCTGAACCCATTGGTACACGGTGTGTTCGATTTGAACGCTTCAACGTCTGGATTGATTTGTATCGGGGTTGTTTTGATATAGAGATTTGACTTAAATTAAGATTCAATATTTCATTTCAGTCTCACCACATACAGGCATATGATAAGGTTAAATACAAATATACATTTTTTACTATCTTGTTGAAATTCAAAATGTTCGTTTAAACGTATATAGCTGCTTGTATCATGATTTGTCTCAAGATGGATCATCAATATAGACTTCATCAATGGTTCAAAAAGATCAGATCTCTGATGAAACGTCGCATTCATAAGTTGAAAAACCGTGTGTATGATCGACCAAAGTCCAATTTCAGAGACGAAAGGGCTTGGAAATGTCTATCATCTTTTTACGATAAGTATGTTGTTGTTCCTCCGGACAAAGCTTCAAATAATTTTTTCTTTGTATATTAATCGTACTACTACGAGTGTCTTGTAAAAGAATGCGGAATAAATTAGCACTCAGATAATCCCACATAAAAAAAACATATCAGTTGAAAAGTATGAGATTTTGCTAATCATAAGTCCTTCATGTTAATATTTTTAACATTGCACACACCTTCACTGCAAATGTTGAAAAGTCTGAAAGTTGAGAATATGCGCTTTTCTCTAAAAAAAAAAAATACATAGTGCATTGCATTGAAGACCCATTGGTGGCCTTCGGCTGTTGTCTGCTGTTTGGACGGGTTGTTGTCTCTTTGACACATTCCCTATTTCCATTCTGAATTTTTAATTTCTATACTGAATTGTACTTGACTAAATGTATGTAAAATTATATAGATATTTTCATAGACAGAGAAGTACCTATGGCTGTGAAAATTAAAATAACAAAAATTCCAAAATCCGAGGAAAATTCTAAACGGAAAGTCTCTGAGCAAATGGCAATATTCAAAGCCCAAACACATGCATTAAACGAAGGAATAACAACTGTGGTACTCTTTACCCGGTACAGGCATTTTCTTGTGTAGAAAATGGTGGATTAAACATGAAATTTAGGTCAAAGTTTTTTTGGATGTTCCATTGGCACCTTCTTAGTGTGTATATACTTCGCAACTTATTCGCTACGCCCTTGTTTGTAGTCACTGTGTAGATTTTTATGAATGGAACTTATGTGTAACTGATCAATTTTTAAGTCAAAGACTTTGTTACTATTGATTAATCAACACTTTTATCAAATTCTTTCATAGATGGACAGATTTAGTTAGAATGTTTGACAGATATTATATGCGATTCATGTAAAGTTATGGATCATATGATAAATTTTATTGTTAAAGGTTATCAATTTATCACAGCAGTAAAATCTTTTAATGATGTATTCATTGCTATAAGCATTGTTCTTGTTTTTATGACCCACCTACGATAGTAGAGGGGCATTATATTTTCTGGTCTGTGCGTACGTTCGTGCGTCCGTCCGTTCGTTCGTTCGTCCGTCCGTTCGTTCGTCCGTTTGTCCAGATGCTTCAGGTTAAAGTTTTTGGTCAAGATAGTTTTTGATGAAGTTGAAGTCCAATCAACTTGAAACTTAGTACACATGTTCCCTATGATATGATCTTATCAATTTTAATACCAAATTAGAGTTTTTACTCCAATTTCATGGTCCACTGAACATAGAAAATGATAGTGCGAGATGGGTATCCGTGTACTATGGACACATTCTTGTTGAATATTAAAAAAATCATGAACATTACTTAATAGTTTTGCTATAACTATACAATAATGAGAATTAATTATGTACATATGTTTGATAACTTTTACTTTTTGTTTGGCTTGCACAGGTTCATGCGTTTCTCAGACCGCTTTATGTCGTTTAAACACCAAATGTGGGAAAACATTACTTGCTTGTTTTAATTGGCTTTAAACTTGCTTTCAGTAACTCCGAGTACTCTTATTCAGGTGTTTTGTGTCATTGTTTTCGTGCCTCGTACCGGTTTTTTACCAGGTAAGGGGAGTGTTGAGCGCTCACAAACATGTTTCCTCCAGCAACATTCATTATCAGCATGTCCAAAGTCAGGAGCCTGAAATTCATGTTTGTCGTTGGTTCATCTAGTTATATTTGTTTTTCGTAAATTATTTGTTATGAATTAGACCGTTAGTTTTCTAATTTGAAATGATTCACAATTTTTTTTATGCAAGAACCTTTTATGATCGACTATACGGTATGAAAGTTTTGTTTTGTTGACAAAAGTACGGTTGGCTATAATAACATACATTCCTTCTATTTGGAACTATGGTTGATAGTTTTCATATTGGCCATAATACCAAAAAGTAAAATCACAAAAATACTGAACTCCGAGGAAAATTCAATCGGAAAGTCCCTAATCACATGGCAAAATCAAATGACAAAACACATCAAACGAATGGACAACAACTGTCATATTCCTGACTTGGTACAGGCATTTTCAAATGTAGAAAATGGTGGATTGAACCTGGTTTTATAGCGCTAAACCTCTCACTACTCCCTATTTATATATTGCTAATAATTTCATCCTACATTACTTGCAGAATTTTATGGACAAAAATTTCTATAAATTTAAGGGTCATATATGTTTTTGTGTAGAATTATCGTCCATTTTTAGATACAAATCCTTGAAAGACTGAACAAATAGAATTAGATTTGAAAATTGCAGTGATAACGTATAAATTTTTTTGGCACATTTTATAAGTTAAATATTTAATTTCATTAATATATTTGTTGATAACAGCAAGGAAAAGATGAACATTATAGAAGAGTAACATTTAATATTTCTATTAAATTACTAGAACTGTACACTGTTAACCAAAATACATAACCCCGTTTACAGTTTTTTATGATGCATTGTACATTTGAAAATTATACTTCATATTTAACGTAAAAAAACCACAGTTGTTTCATCCACCATTTTCTACATAAACAAATGCAGGTACCAAGTCAGGAATATGACAGTTGGTCTACATTCGTTTGATGTGTTTGAGCTTGTGATTTGGCCATTTGTTTAGGAACTTTCCGTTTAGAAGTTTCTTCGGAGTTCCGTTTTTTTCTATTGAGTATTGTGTTAAACATATTTTGCATCAATATCTTTTTTAAACTCTTTATAAAATGAAGAACATGATCACGGAGTTCCATATGCATTTTCCTGAAGGGGTTTGGTTTTGGGGTAACGAAACCTTAGCAATTTTGTAAGCATATTGTTTTTTTAAAGTTTGTTATGATATTGCGTTGAAACTATTACAGAGACAAGAGACTAGCAAGAACAATAATATATCTTTTGGATAACGCAATTTTCGATAAAAAAATAGATATTATTCTTGTGTTAATTTTATGCAAAGTGCCAAGTGAGTTATACAGGCTTCTAATGTTGTCTTTAGCTTTTATATATTATTTTGAAGCCCTGAAGTTGATGAGATTTTTTTCTTTCTTTTTCAGGAGAAACCCTTGGCATTGGATGATATAAACGGAAAAAAAAACAAATTTGAAGTAATATTGATTTCTTTATCAACATAAAACTAATGGTCGTGAACAACTGATGAAGATCTTAATACGTGCAATAATATTGGAAAAAGTAAAACTATAAACTTGATTGGTATCAATTAAAACCAACAAGATGGCATCACTTTCACCAGAAGAAGAAAACTATGTCAGACTGAACTTGTTACTAACAGGAATTTATCCTCGTGCAGTGCGGACCCTATTTGATTATGAATTTGCTCCAACTTGTCTTGATACTACACTTAAGAAGGAGTTCAACAAACTTAAAGACCTTCAGAAGAAGCGTGTAATTAACCAGTCGCAGTGGAACTTACTTACCCCAAGATTTCCTGGTAAGTACAAATAAACCGGGTTATTGCTTTACTTACTCAGTCTTTAAGATGTCTACGTTGTGTTTTTAGTATCAGGTAAGATTTTCTAGAACCTTGCAGTATTTAACAAAATATAATGTGCATGTCAAAATTCATCAGGAGTCTGAAATGTTGAAAAAGAGATGCGAAAATAAATAAATAAAACAGTTACAAAGACAACAACTTACGATGTTGCTTATATGAACAGAAGATGTTGTTTTTAATAAATTGAATTAAAAATATACATAAACGAACATTTAATGTAAATTAGAATTGGATATGTTCAGAACTCATAAATGAAGGTGCAATCAGTTTGGGTTTTTTTTTTCCATTTAGATAACATTGTATGCTGACTGCTACAACTTGTAGCTTTTGTTGGTAATTGTTCGCACACAATTTGAATCCTGGGATCTATGATAATTTTATTACCATATATATTCTGGACATTCTTTTTTAGCTCACCTGGTCAATAGGGCCAAGTGGGGTTTTCTCATCACTTGGCGTCCGTCGTCCGTCAACCCGGTTGTTGGGTTGCTGCCCCTAAATTGGTAATTGTGAGGAATTTTGCAGTTTTTGGTTATTATCTTGCATATCATAATAGATGGGGATTAACTGTAAACAACAAAATTGTTCAGCAAAGTTAGATCTACAAATAAGTCAACATGACCACAATGTTCAATTGACCCCTTCAGGATATATTACCGTTCGAAGTAAATTTTTCACAATATTTCTTAAAATTTTGCAAATTTTTACAAAAAAACTACTCCTCTGAATCTACTGGGCCAAATTGTATCAAACTTTGCCTAAATCATCCTGATGGTATCTACATTGTAGTTAACAAAATATATTCGATGAGGCCGCCATGCCTAAAAATAGAAAATGGGTGTAAAATGAGTTTTTTGGCTTATATCTCTGAAACTAAAGCATTTACAGAAAAATTTGACGGGAATAAAAATTTTCATCAGGTTAATCTCTATCTGCCCTGAAATTATCAGACGCATAAGACAATCTGTTGAAGGGTTGCTGCCCAAGAATTTGTATTTTTAAGGAAATTTTGCAGTTTTTCGGTTCTTATCTTGAATATTATAATAGATAGTGATAAACTGTAAACAGCAAAATTTTTCAGCAAATTAATATTTACAAAGTCAGCATGACCAAAATGGTCAATTGACCCTTTAGAAGCATCTTCGCTAGCCAAAGGTTACGATCCACTGCCCTCCTCTCCACCCTTGGCAGATTAAGCCAACATTTGTGATAACAATGTTGCGCCATCTATCGGTAGATTAAATTCACGCCCATTCCGAATACATTATTCTTGACCAATGGTAGCACCTGAACTCTTCAATTTGGAGGTGAAAACACGGTAGCGTCTAGATTCTACACACTTGGTAAAACAGGAAACGAAAATATACGTTGACATTCATGCATTTATGCAAGAAACATACACAGGAACTTCTATTAGTTGGTTAAAAACATTCAAATTGTCACTAAATATAGTCGTATGTTTAAGGATGTAAAGACTTGTTGCACAATAATCACGTGGCAATTGTTTACATACACTTTCTACATTTACACGTGATCATGTTATAGGCGCTTTTTGATTGGAAGCAGCGAATTTCGACTGCAACCAATGAAAATCATTACCTTGTGTCTCCGAAATTCTATCTCAATCTGCCAAGGGTGGAGAGGAGGGAAGGGGATCGTAACCCTTGGCTAGCGAAGATGCTTTAGAAGTTATTGCCCTTATAGTCAATTTTTAACAATTTTTTGTAAATTTTTGTTATCTTTTGCAAATTTCTTCTCTGAAACTACTGAGACAAATTTAACCAAACTTAGCTACTATCATCATTAAAGTATCGTGTTAAAAAAATGTGTCAGATAACCCCACCTACCAACCAACATGGCTTACATGGCTTAAAATAGAACATAGGGGTAAGATTCAAGTTTTGTCTATAATTTTTTAACCTTTATAAATAGTGAAAATCTAAAAGAAACAAATATGTTCAGAATAATGAGCTCTACCAATTGTCCGTATATGTCAAAACTGTTTGACAAATTCTTATAGGAGTTATGGCCTATAAATGACAAACATTTTTTTTTCATTTTTGCCTATTATCATGAGAATTATGATATTTAGAAAGAAAATTTTGTTTCTGTTATGTCTCATATGATTTAAATTATAATAGAAAAATAAACACTTTAAATCACAGAAACGATCAGCAAGGCAAGATCTATTAATAAGTCAAAGAAACTAAACAGACTAAAAACTCAGTAATACAAGATCAACAAAATAGAGATTTTTGTCATAAGGTATATTCTCGTCTACAATGTTGGAGAGTGCGCTTAATGGATGATATACCCATAGACCAAGGTGAGCGACACAGGCTAGTGTTTTATAATAAAGTACATAAGAAATCTAACAAACTCCTCGAGATCCTGCTAAAATTATGTATCATTATTTCCCCTAGATTCTCCAGATTCCAAGAACTTTGATGTTACTCTAATGATATTACTACTTAGAAATCTCACAACAATAGCCCCTCCTCATGGAGGGTATGACAATCTACCTTCATCATCAGAAACAACACCTGCTGCTGACCTGGCCAGAATAAAGTATTACAGAAATGTCCTCTCTCATCTTGATGATGGTAAAATAGAGAATACCGAGTTCTCCGCAGCATGGGATGATATTACTGGTGTAAGCAGCATTTAATTCATATTTTTCTAGTTCACATTTTTTGTTATGGTCATGATAATATAATTCTGTGTTATATATATTGAACAGCGGGATACTACTATTGCCTTAAATTATAAATAAGACATCGGGAAATTACAAAAGAGCTTTCGATAGATATAAGATGATGTGGTATGAGTGCCAAGGAGACAACTCTCCATAGTCACATTTTGTAAAAGTAAACCATTCTAAAGTGTATTTAGTTAATACAGCATTTTCACTTATTGCCCTCACTCGGTATTTTTTTTTATCTTTCTAACGTACGCTTTTTTTATTTATGTTTAAACATCATGATCTGATATAGCGGAGGGGTGAAAATTGAAAAAGACGCATAGTTAACGAGTTCAAATCACCTGAATGCACCCATGAAATTTTAATGTCTGAAATAGTCTAACGATTATTCAACTTTAGAAAAAAATTTGTCGTAAATGTCATATGTGGTGCAATGACGTTAAATGGTTTTGAACTGATCAAAATTTGTTGTTATATGTGAGACAGATATTCCTAAACAGTCAACCAAATCATAGTGGCAGTCGGAAAACTGTTGAAAGGGAACATAAACTCTACCAGGAAACTTTGGTTCAAAAGCTTCATTTCTTTAAAACCTTTATAGATTTGGAAAATTATTTGACGCACAAATGCCAATACCACTAACATCTGTTTTGTCACAATTACTGTTCGATAGAAGTTATTGAACTAAAACCATGATTTTTATTTATTTTTCATTTACCTGATCATCTAGGGCAAAGGAAGCGTTTGCTAACATGTTGCTGTCCGTATTCGTCACATTTAACTTTTAATAAATCTTCATCTCAGAGGCACTTAGCGAAACATGTTAAAAATCAGAATAAGATGATGGCTTATCACTATTTTGTTTTTTATCGAACAGAAACACATTGCTACCACTTATAAAAAAACATTAGATACGACTGTGGTCTTTGCCTTGCATCTTAATAACTTAAGTTCTATAAAAAATTATAATTTTGTGGATACTACTGTTAGAGATAGATATAAACATAAAGATGTCAAAAGTGAAATAACTTCGATTAACATTTTTTCAAAGAGTTTTGCCAATTGGAAACATTAATTATAATGAAAATTGCATAGTAAGCGCTCTCACGTAAACGATTATTGCATATAGTTTTTTTAATTATCAGCAATTTTTTTTCGAAATAAAGTTTGAAATTGAGTGGCGATCATTTTTTAAAGAGAAATGCCGTTTTGAATATTATCCATATTGAAAATTGAATTGTAAGCGTCTCTCCTGTACACTATTGTTAGATAATTATTAAATTCACATCTATAACAGCAATATCTCGAACAAGTTTCACATCAATACCGATCAACTATTTTCAAATAGGTATATCTTTTGGAAATATGAATTATATGAAAAATTGCATTATAACCCCATTATTATCTTTTTTAGTTATTGTCGTTCGACAGATAAAATATGTACTACGCAGGTCGTATGTTATCGGCTTTGAACTAGCTGCCAGAAGTTCTCTTAGATATTATGTACTTTTTTTCTTTTAAAATAATTCATTGCGGCCTAACTATCACGTATAATTAGCTCCATTATCTACAAATGCAATCTGACCCTATCACATATAATTACCTCTGTTAGCTCCAATATCTAGAAATGTTATTTGACCAAACAATTAAATATGGCCTAACTATCACTTATACTTACCTCCGTTAGCTGTAATGTCTAGGAATGTTATCTAACCAAACTACTCAGTGTGACGGATGGATGAACTCCCTGTCCGGGTTGTGCCTTCTTTTGTTGTTTTTCTGTTGTGTACCAATAAAAATAAAATTGAGAATGGAAATGGGGAATATGTCAAAGAGACAACAACCCGACCAATCTAATTAATTGAGCCATTTTCAACTGATTTGTTTTAAGTTTGTTCGTATGTTGAAATGCCACACCACTGTCCTAGGTGAGGTGCACCAGCAAACAATGTTAACCTCGCCACATTCATTAAGTTCCTGTTCCAAATCAGGCGCCTGTAATTCAGTGGTTGTCGTTCGCTGCAATATATCACATTTGTTGTTCATTTATTGTTGTGTACATTAATCAGATTGTTAGTTTTTTTTCATGAATTGTCTCACTTTTGTAATTTCGGGGCCTTTTGTAACTTAATGTAGCAGGAGCAATTCTGCTTGAGATTCGGGGATGCGGACCACAGCTTGCAGATTTCTTCTCAAGTTGAAAAAAGGTTAAACAGGAATTGATGTATTTTCCATTAGTACCACAATTTCACAAATAAAAAAAAAGCAACGATAACCAAATTAATTTACTTTGGAGAGGCATATGGATAAATTTGGGCTAGTTCGTTTTATATTTTAAAGTGTGGATGCATCATTTCAAAGTCTTATTGCATTTTAATTGATGTTTTAGCGATTGTAAGTAATAAGATTTCTATAAAAAGCAAACCTCGTAAATCAAAGAATACAATTCTTGATTGAAAACATATTTGTTACGTTTGTAGGACGTGTTTTTCAACAGACTGTCGGATTTCAAATTGGAACCAATTGCGCCCCTCTTCTTGCCGACTTGTTTCTTTATTTTTATGAGGCTGACTTCAAACCGGAACTTCTTAAAGGATACTACAGATACAATTAAGTCTGCCTCCTATCTTGACTTACATCTAGAAATTGACAATGATGGTCGCCTGAAAACAAAACTTTACAACAAAAGAGATGATTTCAGCTTCCCAATTGTGAACTTTCCATTTCTATGTAGCAACATTCCAGCAGCGCCTGCATACGGAGTATATATCTCCCAATTGATACGATATTCCCGGGCTTGTGTTTCCTATCATGATTTCCTTGTTAGAGGATTGATGCTCACAAGGAAGCTATTAAACCAAGAGTTCCAAATGGTGAAGTTGAAATCATTCCTTCGTAAATTTTACGGACGCCTTCACGAGTTGGTTGACCGTTATGGAATAACCTTTTTACAGATGATATCGGATATGTTCCTTATGTCGTTACTACAATACCCTTCCCTTTTCACGAATGTGACTTACCGAATTAGACTATTTACCGGATTTGTAATAACATAAGCAACACGACGGGTGCCACATGTGGAGCAGGATCTGCTTACCCTTCCGGAGCACCTGAGATCAGCCCCAGTTTTTGGTGGGGTTCGTGTTGCTTAGTCTTTAGTTTTCTATGTTGTGTCATCTGTACTATTATTTGTCTGTTTGTCTTTTTATTTTTGGCCATGGCGTTGTCAGTTTGTCTTCGATCTATGAGTTTGACTGTCCCTCTGGTATCTTTCGTCCCTCTTTTACATAATCCTCGTTTCTTATTTTGTGGGCTCCAACTGTCACGACACAATAGTCCCTTTGAAGTGTAAGCGAAAAACAAGAAAAAATGTCGTTTAAGTAACGGCTCTTATGTGCCTCTCTTTCATGAAAAATTTTAATTATTTTAATATTTAAATTCTTCATGTAATTTTGTTCATGATTTTATGAAAAATGTTCACTCATTCATACTTCTGTGTAAAATTGTAGGCCATTAGTAGATTAGGTGGGCAACATATGAATCTCGAGTGTGATAAGCTGCGAACCAAAACACTTGACCAAAGTAATCGAGAGATAATGCTAGACATCAAGCATTCAAATGATGAAATAAGGGAATTGAAACAGTCAGTAGACGGTTTGAAAAAATATAGTGAAGATACAGTACCCTGGAATGTTAGAGGTAAGCCTATTTTGATTTATGTGGGAAAGTTTCTGCGAGGAAAATCGCAGAATTACTATCTGTTTGCGGCAGCATAAACTATTGAAGCTTTATAATTAAGAAGGCAGAAGACTTGTATGTTTCATGCCTTGTATGCGGTTGCTTGTTTTACGAATTTTCCGACTGTCATATGTCCATTGTCCTGGTTGAAATTGTTTTTGTTTTGTCATGTAAAATACACATTGTTTATGTGTAAAGGGATTTATATAGTTGGTATATGTGATCCTTGTAAGGTCTTAACGTCCGTCAATCAAGGTTTGTCCGGTCTTGACTTCATTTCGTGGTTAGAGATCAATGTCGAGTTTTAGTGGTCAAATCATCTTTATTTGGTGTATTGAATTATCGTAAGACATGTCTGACTGACAGGCTTTATCTTATCTCAACCTCAGTTCCTGATCCTGGTATCTATGATGAGCTTATTTTCATGGTTCATTATTTGTCAATCGTACGTTTGTGTAGTTCTTTTGTTTCAAGATACTATAGGCTGTCTTCTAACTATATTTGTTTACGGAAGGATTGTATGATATGCATGTCTTATTGGCAGGGTTCATCTGATATTGCCCTATTTTTTATGGTTTACTGGTCAATGCTTAATTAAATAATTATTTCTTTTTCACATGCTTTCATCAATTAGCTGACAAAATGAGGTGTTCAGTATGAATGCGATCATGAGAATTCAGGCTGGCAAATATTTAGCCATCGCCCTCTTGTGCTTACTCCTAACTGAACAATAGTTTTCCTGTGAAACACAAAAGTGGTAATCACAAAGCCCTGTAAATATTAGTTTGCCAGGTTAATTTCATGTAGTGTCAGAGTTTACACTAGAAAGACATTGTAAACACCTTTCAATACTTGTGTCAACTTTATTAATGTTACTCAGATTTCTTGGGAGGTCATGCATGATACTTATTTACAAAAGAGATTAAAACTGGGTAGTTATTGTTAATTCCATGGAATGTTAGATGTCAACAATCACTTTGAAATAAATCTAGACTTCAACAGTTGAAGTTACTTTTGATTTGTAACTATAATTATAAATGAGAGTATAGGGTTAATGATTAATGCCAGAAAAATAAACATAAGCTCATTAGTTAACACTTTGTATATTGAAAATCAAATTGTAGGTCATCATTGATTCCTTTGTATGTTAGATGTTTACGCTTTTAACATAGGCTTTGAAGTTTTTAAATGGAAAAATTCGCACGTAGATTTTTGTTGATATCATGGTATGTTGGCAGTTAAATTTTTTTAAATGATTTTTTACACCATGTTGAGTTAAATGTTAAAATGTGGAGGCTTTTGGTCCAATAAAAAAAACACTACTTACAATCAACTTTACGATGTGTTTATCAATTACTAGCTTTTAAAAACATTGCTTGAAATTGAACACTTTCTGTCATGTGATGTTGTCGTTTTGGTGTTGTGTTTGACGTTGCCATAAAAGCGGGTGGTTTGGCATGCCACAAAACCAGGTTCAACCCACCATTTTTTTCTTAAAATGTCCTGTACCAAGTCAGGAAAATGGCCATTGTTATATTATAGTTCGTTTCTGTGTGTGTTACATTTTAATGTTGTGGTTTTTGTTGTGTCGTTGTTCTCCTCTTATATTTGATGCGTTTCCCTCAGTTTTAGTTTGTAACCCGGATTTGTTTTTATCTCTATCGATTTATGAGTTTCGAACAACGGTATACTACTGTTGCCTTTATCTTATAATATACATGAATCATAAGTTTAACACGAACAAGCACAACACAGCAACAGCAACACTATGAATTTAAAAACAAATCATACACAGAGGGCATCATATGGTATTTAATAAAATACAAGCTAATATACAACAAAAGAAGTTCCTAATAAATGAACTCATAATAGATAACAGGATTGAAATTTGTACACCAGATAGTCTACAAAGATACAAACTCATCAGTGGTGCAATTGTTTCTAGTGTAACAAGTTATCGTATTTCATTAAGAACAATAAACATTCAAATGTAACTTGAGATCCCACTTGCAGGTTCAGTACAACGATTAAATCTAAGACAGACAATATTGTAAAAAGTAAAATCACAAAAATACTGAACTCCGAGGAATATTCAAAACGGAAAGTCCCTTATCAAATGGCAAAAACAAATGATAAAACACATCAAACGAATGGACAACAACAGTCATATTCCTGACTTGGTAAATGCATTTTCAAACGTAGAAAATGGTGGATTAAACCTGGTTTTATAGCGCTAAACCTGTCACTTGTATGACAGTTGCATCAAATTCAATTATACTTACAACGATGCGTGAACAAAACAGACATAGCATTGTCACAATATGGGTACAGCAGTCATCACTGTGTCACAATCTCAAAGCAAACACACATTTAAAGAAGAAGCATAAAAAGCATCTTTCAAATTTAACAACCACATTCATTGCTTACTTATATATGTATTATAAATCAACCAATAAAGGATTGAAATATTTAAAAGAGGGACGAAAGATACCAGAGGGAAGTCAAACTCATAGATCGAAAACAAACTGACAACGCCATGGCCAAAAATTAAAAAGACTAACAGACAAATAATAGTACAGATGACACAACATAGAAAACTAAAGACTAAACAACACGAACCCCACCAAAAACTGGGGGTGATCTCAGGTGCTCCGGAAGGGTAAGCAGATCCTCCTCCACATGTGGCACCCGTCGTGTTGCTTATGTTATTACAAATCCGGTCAATAGTCTAATTCGGTAAGTCACATTCGTGAAAAGGGAAGGGTATTATAGTAACGACATAAGGAACATATCCGATATCATCTGTGAATCGGTTATTCCATACGGTCAACCAACTCGTGATGGCGTCCGTAAAGTTTACGAAGGGATGATTTCAACTTCGCCATTTGGAACTCTTGGCTTAATAGCTTCCTTGTGAGCAGCAATCCTCTATCAAGGAAATCATGATAGGAAACACCACCCGGGAATATCGTATCAATTGGGAGATATATACTCCGTATGCAGGCGCTGCTGGAATGTTGCTACATAGAAATAGAAAGTTCACAATTGGGAAGCTGAAATCATCTCTTTTGTCGTAAAGTTTTGTTTTCAACCGACCCTCATTGTCAATTTCTAGATGTAAGTCAAGATAGGAGGCAGACTTAACTGTATCTGTAGTGTCCTTTATCTCTAGTTCGATGGGATAGATTCGTTCAACATAGTCACCAAATTTTGTATTATTTAGTGAGAGAACATCATCTATATAGCAAAACGTAGAGTTAAAGGATATTGCTAACTTCTTATCTTTCTTCCTAAGAAGTTTCTGCATGAAGTCAGCCTCATAATAATAAAGAAACAAGTCGGCAAGAAGAGGGGCACAATTGGTTCCCTTTGGAATTCCGACAGTCTGTTGGAAAACATGTCCTCCAAACGTAACAAATATGTTGTCAATCAAGAAATCAAGCATCTTGATAATGTCAGTTTCAGAGAATTTTTTGTTTGAATCAGAGTGATTCTTTACAGAGAGAGTCTTAGATTGTATGTACTGTAAAAGATCTTTGGAATTTTTTAGTATCCACATCTGATTCACGCTACCTCTAGAATAGGCAATTTCACAATAACTTTGGAGCCCGGCTTTGATTGCTGATAAAATAGATGTTAATAATTTAGAAAGAGGTTTCGTGGAGCACTTGGAAGACCCAGCAATATACCGTTGTTTGTAAGGACACTTATGTAGTTTAGGTATCCAATACAGTGATGGAAGATCCAGTTCTTCATCTTTGGTTGAAATTCCAAAGGAACATAGAACAGACCTATGATTATCCAGGATTTCCTCTTTGGTAAGTGTCGTGAGGGTATATGTTGAGTTTCCAAGTGAATTGTCAATACCTAATTCATTTATCAAGCATTTTATGTAATGATATTTACACACAAAAACAATGTTGTTTGGGGCTTTATCTGCGGGGACAACAACATATTTGTCATGGAGGTAGGACAAGTGTTTTGCAACATTTGGGTCTTTAAAAATTGATGTAGCGTGGGTATTGATTTGCCCATTTAGTTTCTTAATTCGGATTTGTAACAACGACCTCACAGCCTTAATCCATTCAGAAATAGTATCTACGTCTTCTTTCTCGCGTTTAGCCCATTGCCAGGCATAATCCTCGACTGAATCCATCAGTATTTTGAAGTTGTATTTCCAATTGATGGATTTAGGCTCACGATATTTCGGACCTTTGGATGAAAAATTTCGTAGAGAAGTGTTATTGACAATGTTGAGGTCTCCGGTAATAACGTGGCCAGCCGGATTATATGTGAATTGGGAACTAGTCCTGTGACTGCATTCACATCTACGTAATGTTTTGTTTATAGGCTTTGAATGTATCCATGTCTCCACTTGTTATAAATCTATACCAAAAATATTTATATTTTCAAAATGTGCGATCTAGATAGGACTAAAATAGATATTGAATTTTATGGTTAATTCAAAATAAAGTTTAGATTAACTAAGATGAGCATGTGCCATGCTATACTGTTCAAACTACTTTGCAGGACGTTATAGTTTCTACTTTAAAACTTTAAAAACTTGTCTAAGATACCGTTCCGTTAGTTGATGTAGTCGGATGTTTGGTTTCGTCATTTTTCAGCTTTTTGAATTAACGATGGAATAGGATAAAGTTAAAGGTACACAAACTCATACGCTCACTTTACACAGATTGTAGTACCGGACAAGAACAAACTCCTCTTGACATGTCACATTTACTGGTGATAAATTAAAATGATTTCACTTATAAACATGAATAAAATAATTATCAGGTTTGATAAAGTTATACTATTAACTACTCAATAACGAAATTGAAAAGGGAATTAAACTGACCTTGGCATTGATCGAACAGTTTCCTCCTTAGTCTTCATAGTATATGGTGCAGAAAAATTGGTACCGTTTATGTTATTACGCACCATAATAGAGAATACATTGATTAAAAAGCATTGCTCCAAAACACTGATTTCGTAATGCAGGCTTCTGTTTTAGGACATGAAATACGAGTTTAATTTAGTCATGGGCATTTTTTTTCAGTAAATTTAGACCTGCTGCCAATGATTCCCATTTAATAATAAGTTTCATAGCAGGATATTTCCTTCATGAAAAGTGAATATTATACATAAAAAGTGTAAAGGGAAATTATCAGTAAAGGATAATTTATTTGTTACAGAGGGAACCATGGGTTGATAAAAATAAAGTTGAAACTTGATTATGTAAACATTTTTATTGTATTATAGAACAAATCAAGCAGATACTTGAAGACTGGAAGAAAAATGATCAAATGTATATAAACACCAATGGAGCAGACTACGCACTGAAATGTATAAAGGAGAAGAGTTGTGTAACTATAACTGCAAGTTCTGGTGTAGGGAAGACAGCCACTCTCCGACATGTAGCTTTACAGATGGCAGATGAGGGATACGATGTTCTCTTGGTTAATGATCCAGGTGACATTGTCAAATTTTACAATCCAAAGCAGAAAACATTGTTTGTGATTGATGATTTATGTGGAAACTATTCTTTTAACCAGATTGACATGAAAATGTGGGAACCTGTGATGGAACGTTTAGAGGACATTCTCCAAAAACAAGTGGCAAAGATTATTATTGCATGTCGATTACAGGTGTACCAGGATAACAAGTTTGAAACTTTATCTTTATTTAAGTCATGTGTCTGTAACCTGTTATCAGAGACATTATGTTTGTCGAAGACTGAAAAATGGTTAATTGCTGAGTTATATCTCACAACAAAAGCTCCTATGGTTACTGAATATTATGATTTATATGATTGTTTTCCCTTGATATGTAAACTGTACCATGACAAATCTGATATGGATATTACAAACTTTTTTCAAAATCCATTTTCAGTTTACGAAGCACAGATTGAGAAGCTACAAAAAAAAGGATGTTATGCAAAATATGGTGCTTTGGCTTTGTGTGTCATGTTTAACAACAGAATAAATGAAGAAATATTGACCGACGAAGTAGACGAAGAAATATTAGCTATCATTGAAAACACATCTGAGGCATGTAGACTCGACAAAGGGACATCGAGACTTATCTTTAAAGATGAACTCGATTCATTAATGCAAACATACATAAAAAAAGAAAAAAATATTTATAAAAGTATACATGACAAAGTATTTGACTTTCTAACCTTTCATTTTGGACAAAAAATAGTGCAATGCTTAATTAAGCATTCACATAAAAGGTTGATCAGTGAAAGATTTATATTTGAAAAACAAGAGGATTCTGACCAGTTCATAATAGTTGTGCCTACACAGTTCCATCAAATTTACATGGAAAGGATGGTTAACGACTGGTCAAAGGGAATAGTTAATGAAGTTTTTTGTAATACAAATATGAACAGTCCTCAATTCAGGAACAGATTTTTATGTTTTTTGAATGGCCTTGATATATCTTACCAGAGACAGTTAGCACATACCTGTGATGTGGAAAACCAAGATACTGCACTGTTACTGTCTTGTTTTGATGGCGATATTCCTATGATTCAATGGTGCTTTAAACATAATGTTGATTGTAATCAATATAGAAATGATGAGACAACCCCTATGGAGATAGCAGTCCAACAAGGACATACAGAAATAGTAAGGATGTTGTTAGACAGAGGAGTAGATTACAATAAATGTAACAATGATGGTTGGTCACCTATAATGACTGCTTGTAGCAATGGTTATACAGATATATTTAATATATTGTTAGACAAAGGAACAGAGTACAACGAATGTCACAAAAACGGTTGGTCTCCTGTAATGATGGCTTGTGGATATGGGCATTCAAAAATAGTAAAAATCTTTTTAGAAAATGGCGTTGATTTTAATAAATTTGACAGAAACGAGGCTTCGCCTTTAATGGCTGCTTGTTACAATGGACACACAGATATAGTTAGAATGTTGTTAGCCGCAGGAGTGGAGTATGACGAATGTAACAATTATAATTGGTCACCTCTCTTGTTTGCTTGTGAAAAAGGACACACAGATATAGTTGGGATGTTGTTAGATAGAGGAGCAGATTATAATAGATGTAACAAATATGAGCGTTCAGCTTTAATGTTTGCTTGTGATAAACGTTTTAGGACAGGAAAGTCAGCTATACAAATGGCAGCATATTATGGACACACGGAAACAGTGATCATGTTGTTAGACAGAGGAGCCATTTATAATAATTGGTCATCTGTAATGTATGCTTGTGCATATGGAAATACAGAGATAGTGATGAAGTTGTTAAATAAAGGAACGGAATTCGATGAATTTAATGATGATGGTCAATCACCTTTAAATTTAGCTTGTACATATGGACAAACAGATATAGTAAGGATGTTGCTTGACAGAGGAGCAGATTGTAATAAATGTAGTAAATATGAGAGTTCAGCTTTAATGTTTGCCTGTTTAAAAGGATACCAAGAAATAGTAAGGATGTTGTTAGATAGAGGAGCAGATTGTAATATGTGTGATAAAGATGAGAAGTCACCTTTAATTTTTGCCTGTGAAAGAATATACACAGGAAAACTAAAGATGGTGTTTAAAATAGAAGCCGATTACAAAAATTATTATGCAGTTGAAAGGTTTGCCTGTTATAAAAACTACACAGAAATAGTAAGGATGTTGTTAGATAGAGGGGCAAATTATAATAAATGTGATAAAGACGAAAAGTCACCTTTAATGCTTGCCTGTAGTAATGAATGTACAGAGATAGTAAAGATTTTGTTAGACAGAGGATCAGATTCTGATAAACGGGATATAGATATGTGGTCACCTGTAATGTTTGCCTGTGATAAAGGATACACAGAAATAGTGATGATGTTGTTAGAAAGTGGAGCAGATTGTAATACATGTGATAAAGACGAGAAGTCACCTTTAATGCTTGCCTGTTATAATGGATCCACAGAGATAGTAAAAATGTTGTTAGATAGAGGAGCAGATTGTAATAAATGTAATAAAGATGAGAAGTCACCTTTAATGTTGGCATGTGATAAAGGATACACAGAAATAGTAAAGATGTTGTTAGATAGAGAGGCAAATTGTAATAAATGTGATAAAGATGAGATGTCACCTTTAATGTTTGCCTGTGATAAAGGATACACTGAAATAGTAAAAACGTTGTTAGATAGAGAGGCAGATTGTAATGAATGTGATAAAGATGAGTTGTCACCTTTAATGCTTGCCAGTAATAAAGGATACACAAAAACAGTAATGATGTTGTTACAAAGAGGAGCAGATTGTAATAAATGTGATAAAGATGAGAAGTCACCTTTAATGTTGTCATGTGATAAAGGATATACAGAAATAGTAAAGATGTTGTTAGAAAGTGGAGCAGATTGTAATAAATGTGCCCAATGTGGGTGGTCCCCTCTTATCTTTGCCTGTTATAAAGGATACACAGAAATAGTAAAGATGTTGTTAGATGGAGGGGCATATTATAATAAATGTGATAAAGATGAGAAGTCACCTTTAATGCTTGCCTGTTATAAAGGATACACAGAGATAGTAAAGATGTTGTTAGACAGAGGAGCAGATTCTGATGAATGTGATAAAGATATGTGGTCACCTTTAATGCTCTCCTGTGGTAATGAATGCATGGAAATAGTAAAGATGTTGTTAGATAGAGGAGCAGATTGTAATAAATGTAATACAGATAAGATATCACCTTTAATGCTTGCCTGTGATAAAGGATACACAGAAATAGTAAAGATGCTGTTAGATAGAGGAGCAGATTGTTATAAATGTGATAAAGATGAGGAGTCACCTTTAATGTTGGCATGTGATAACGGATACACAGAAATAGTAAAGATGTTGTTAGATAGAGGAGCAGATTGTAATAAATGTAATACAGATAAGATATCACCTTTAATGCTTGCCTGTGATAAAGGATACACAGAAATAGTAAAGATGCTGTTAGATAGAGGAGCAGATTGTAATAAATGTGATAAAGATGAGATGTCACCTTTAATGCTTGCCTGTGATAAAGGATACACAGAAATAGTAATGATGTTGTTAGATAGAGGAGAAGATTGTAATAAATGTAATACAGATGAGAAGTCACCTTTAATGTTTGCCTGTTTTGAAGGATACACGGAAATAGTAAGGATGCTGTTAGATAGAGGAGCAGATTGTAATAAATGTAATACAGATGAGAAGTCACCTTTAATGTTGTCATGTGATAAAGGATACACAGAAATAGTAAAGATATTGTTGGATAGAGGAGCAGATTGTAATAAAAGTGGTCAAGATGGGTGGTCACCTCTTATCTTTGCCTGTTATAAAGGATACACAGAAATAGTAAGGATGTTGTTAGAGAGCGGAGCAGATTTTAATAAATGTAATAAAGATGTGTATTCACCTTTGATATTTGCTAGTAATAGAGGATACACAGAGATAGTTAAGATGTTGTTAGATAGAGGGGCAGATTGTAATAAATGTGATAAAGATGAGAAGTCATCTTTAATGTTTGCCTGTTTTGAAGGATACACGGAAATAGTAAGGATGTTGTTAGATAGAGGGGCAGATTGTATTACATGTGATCAAGTTGGGTGGTCACCTCTTATATTTGCCTCTTTTAAAGGATGCACAGAGATAGTAAAGATGTTATTAGATAGAGGAGCAGATAATAATAAATGTGATAAAGATGAGAAGTCACCTCTAATGTTTGCCTGTTGTAATGGATCCACAGAGATAGTAAAGATTTTGTTAGAAAGAGGAGCAGATGCTGATAAATGTGATAAAGATATGTGGTCACCTTTAATGCTTGCCTGTGGTAATGGATACACAGAAATAGTAAGGATGCTGTTAGTTAGTGGGGCAGATTGTAATAAATGTGTTCAAGATGTGTGGTCACCTTTAATGTTGGCCTGTGATAAAGGATACACAGAAATAGTAATGATATTGTTATACAGAGGGGCAGATTGTAATAAATGGAATAGAGATCAGTGGTCACCTTTAATGCTTGCCTGTAAAAATGGATACACAGAAATAGCAATGATGTTGTTAGATAGACAGGCAGATTGTAACGATTGTTATAACGATGGGTGGTCACCTCTCATCTTTGCCTGTTATAAACGATACACGGAAATAGTAAGAAAGTTGTTAGATAGAGGAGCAGATTGTAATAAATGCGACAAAGAAGGGTGGTCACCTTTAATGTTTGCCTGTGAAGAGGGAAACGCAGAAATAGTAAGGATGTTGTTAGATAAAGGAGCAGATTATGATAAATGTGACAAAGAAGGATGGTCCCCTTTGATGTATGCTCGTAAAAATCGAAATGCAGAAATAGTAACAATGTTGTTAAGCAGAGAAGCGGATGATAATTAATTTAATAAAGATTGTCATGATTAATGTTGTCAATTACCTTTAATGTACCGAGTATATGTGTACATACATAAACAGTGATAATATTGTAAGAAAGAGGAGCAGATTATATCAAAATAACGTTCGGGCACCTGTTTTGTACGCTCGAGAATATGAAATTACAGAAATGGTAATGATATTGCTAAACAAAAGAGCAGATTTTTATCAATGCAGTATTGATGGTCAATTATTTGGCGTTTTAATGGATATATGTCTTGTATTTTTAGGAGTATTTATTTGGATAAATGTTCAATTAGAGATAACCCCGGCTTGGGTGCATGAGATGCTTGTTACTCGGTTGTTTTCAATGAAATCATTTGTAGACCTCTTTCCGTCGTCTTTTCTTTCTCTTTTCTTTTTCCTTTTTGCCATGGCTTTGTATATTTCTCTTCGGCATTTAAGTTCTGCTTGTTTCTTTTGTATCTCTCTATTTTTCAATAATATGGTATGTTGGTCCAAGAAACAAATACATTTTCAACTTTTTCGGTTCATATTTAATCTCGGCTGTCAAATATTTGTCTTTGAGCGTTACTGGTGAATGTTAATCCAGAAAAGCGCTTCGGACGCATGAAAGTATTTAACGTGTTGTTTTTACTTGGTCGATACCTCTGTTGGTAGACTATCAGTCCACGAGGGTATCATCAGCTTATTAGTCAATACTTTGGTACTGATATGATTTATAGTGTAAAATCACAAAAACACTGAACTCCGAATAAATTCAAAACGGAAAGTCCCTAATTAACGAACTATTCTAAAATTGTCTTTTTATAGATTAAGAAATTTTTAAGAAACGTTTCAACTTTCTCAGGAAAACTTTTCTATTTTTCAGGGTTTTTATGTCATATAACAATCAACTCTTTCGGTTGTCATGCAATCTCGCCTTTCGAATATTTGATATTTTTTGATAAGGAGATGTAATATGACAAAAATGAAAAGGAAACTACACCAGATAAACTGATAATAATTATCTATATTATGGAACAACTGAACTAAAAGTTCTCTTTGTATCTTTGAAATAAAAGTGACAAAATTGGGAAGAACTATGACATTATAATGTAAAACTGTAGTTTTTTTTTTATTTATTCAGACTATTAACATTTATATGAATTTGAAGGCTGATTATGATTGAGTACGTTTTTTAAGATATAAGTACTCATCCTATACATAACGGTGTAGTATAGATGTTTATACTGCAACTAGTTTTGTTTGTTTCCTAAATTTTAGTAACACAGCTATTGTTTGTGCAATGTCAATTGCATCATGGAACATTTTCTCACAATCAGGGGTTCATTAAGGGATGAAAATAAGTTTAACATTTGTGTTACAATTTAAAAAACTATCAATGAATTAATTAAAGTTGCAGTATAAAAACAATACTAGGTCTCAATGTAATGAAAATATAAACGTTTTTGTATTCGGCACAAAACTGGGAAAGGGCTCGGTAAAATCTCGCCCTTTCCCAGTTTCATAGCCTCATACAAAAAGATTAATATTTTTCTGACATTGACCTTATATTGTATATCTATATATTTTCAAATTTATATATGTATTGTTTATAATCTTACAAATTCAGCATGTTAAATTAAGCAAAAAAGTCATAGACTCTAATTTTGATACTATTCAATTTGCATTGTCTGGAGAGCCAAGTATTGTTGTTTTTTAATATTATTTAATATACCAAAAGATGGTATTTGTATTCATGTGTTTGCATTAATCTTTGCTTGTATATACAACAAATGTCACATATGTAATGATTGATCAGTATACAAATATATAATTATATAACTAAAAATGAATCTAATTAAACTGTGTACAAATGTTTTTTTTTATTTTGTTTTCCTACAAATAAAATGGTATCGTTCAAATGTATGCATAAAATATAATAACAGAAATGAAATAAAAAGAACCTTTTAACTGATTTTAATAGTTTGTTCTAATGTTGTGCTGTTACACCACTGTCTCAGGTTATGGTAAGGGTTGAGTGATCACAAATGTTTAGCTTACATTCTTTATGTTCCTGTCCTTAGTGAGGAGCCTCTAGATCAGTGATTGTTGTTTATTCAGGTCTGTCATTGGTTCATGTCTGTCATATTTGTTTTTCGTGAACTGTTTTGTTATAAATTTGGTCGTTAGTTTTCACAATTATATGGTTTCATATTTTTCATGTCGGAGCCTTTGATATACAATTCTACGGTGTGAGGTTTTCTCATCGTTGAAGGTCATACGGTTGCCTTTAATTACTGTTATTCATTTCACTTTAACTCTGGTGTAGAGTTGTCTGATTGACAATCATACCACATGTCCTTATTTTTATAATAGGTGTTGGTGTTTGAACCTCAATCGGTATTGATAAAAACTGTCATAAATAAACAGTAATTACTACAGTAAAACGACAAGCAAGGCAAGGTCAACATTCAATTGTTCACAATTTTGATCCATCTGACCTTAAATTCTATTTATACTTTCTCAAACTTTTGTCATTCATGGTTTTAGTCCGTCCGTTGTCGTTTGTCCGTTCTCCATCGTAAATTGTTTTCAAATCTTCTCAACCGAGGAGGTAAAGTGTTACCAAATGTTAGTAAAATTTACTTAAATGTTCACTACTGTACTGAGTTTAAAAGATGTATCCCAGGATTTGATCGATCAGCAAACATAGTCACTGTAGCTAATGTCAAAGGTTAAAAAAGAAGGGCGAAAGATACCAGAGGGACATTCAAACTTACAGATCGAAAATAAACTGGCAACGCCATTGCTAAAAAGACAAACAATAGTATACAAAACACAACATAGAAATTTAAAGGCTTAGCTACACAAACCCCACCAGCATATGTGGATGATCGCAGGTGCTCCGAAAGGGTAACAGATCCTGCTCCACATGTGGTAACCGTCGTTTTGCTTATGTTTAGGTCTATCTCCTTCGGAGACATCAGATGAATTGGACAACCCATTTTTGTTTTGCCTCTTAAATATCATTTTTTAGTAAAGTCAAAGTGTTTGGTTTGTATTTTAAAAACTAACGCAGTTAGTAAACATCCTTTTGGTTAATGTGTTATTTTCTGAAAAACTATTAACAAATAGAGAGAAATGTTTAATAGTAAAAATTAACAACATAATGAAATCTACAAATCAGTCAACTTAACAGAGATCTTGAAAGACCCCTTATTTAAGCTATTGTCTTATTATTATGATATTCGCTATAATACTAGAATGAATATTTCGATAGTTAAAATATTAAACAAAATGTTGAATACGAGTACGTCATCATTGACAAATCGTCAATTTACCACTGATAGGAGTAATTGCCCTTGAAAACTATTTTTCTTCTTTTTTTTTTTTGCAGAAACTATAACATGTATAAAAGAAAAAAAGAAAAAGAAAATAGCAGAAATTTTCAATTAACGGCTTATGTGACTAATTTCATTTGAAACATTTTTATCATTTTATTTTCCATGTGTTGCAGAAACTATTGTAGATAAGAAACTTTATAAAGAGTAAATATTTTAAGTACAATAAGATTGACAAATGAATATGATGGCCGAAATTGTCAACCGACTCCTTTTAGGAATTATTGTCCTTGAATGACCATATTTGCCCTACTCATGGATTGTTTGCAGTAACAAAAATTAACAGAGAACATTGTACATAGCATAACAAAAGAAATCAGCAATATAAGATTTAAGAACACGTCAACATTATTGGTATCTTGAACTGACCCCTAATTGGTGGGTGTAACGGCCCTTGTTTCTGCACAAACTATAATAGATAGATAGAAGCGATACGAAAAGCAGAAATGTTCAAAACAATAAGATATAAAAATCAGTCATCAAGTCCAAAATTGTCAACCAACTCTTTCCTGAAGTTTTTTGCATGAATAACGTTTTTTATTTTTATTTTTTTAAGAAATATCGCTAAGAAGAAACATTAAAAAGCAAACAAGATCCCTAGCCGTAGATGAGAGATTTGGAACACCGTTTTGTTATTTCTGGTTTTCAATACTTTAAACTTGGTACTAGTACTTGATGTGGCGTTTAACTTTTTTTTTAGAGCCACTCATGAGCCTAATATAGACTTTTATGTTGTGATGTTACACTATTTTTTCAGATAAGGGCGAAGGTTGGTACCTATTAAAACGGTTAAACCCGCTGCATTTGTTTGCACCTGTCCTAAGTCCTGAATCTGATGTTCAGTAGTTGTCATTTGTTGATGTGGTTCATTAGTGTTTCTCGTTTCTTGGTTTTTATATAGATTAGACCGTTGGTTTTTGCGTTTGGATGGTTTTACACGTGTAATTTGTTGACCCTTCGTAGGTTGCTGTTTAGTGTGAACCAAGGCTCCGTTTTGAAGACCGTACTTTAACCTATAATGGTTTACTTTTACAAATTGTGACTTTGATGGAGAGTTGTCTCATTGGCACTCATCTTATATGTATTGACATGATTCTTGCCAGTCTTAATTACAAGTTTGGTATCAAAATTTATATTTTAATCGTAATACAAGTTCTCGAATTGTTTTGTTTATAAACATATTCGTGGTCGTCTATGACACAGCTATTGATACATTTGAACAGCGGTATACTAAAATTTCCTTTATCTATACCTCAACGGGCGACCAAATTATGATGGCGTCTTGAAAACCTCATAACGAATGACTCTGACTACTATTAAGAACCCTCAATCTAATAGCTTTCTTGTCATCAGTAAAACTCTAGCAAGGAATCATGATACGAAACGCAAGTCCTGGAATATAAATCAGCTTTGAGATACTCTGCTAGGATATTATACATAGTAAATTACAATGGTAAAATTAAAATCATATCTTGACATGACGAAGAGTTCTCAACCTAGTCTCATTGTTAATTTTTAGATGGAAGTCTAACTTCGATAGATAAAGGCAACAGTAGTATATCGTTGTTCAAAACTCATAAATTGATTAAGAGAAAACAAATCTGGGTACAAACTAAAACCGAGGGAAACACATCAACTACAAGAGGAAAACAACAGAAACACTGAAGTGCAACAAAACAAAACGCCAACAAACATACAAACGGACTATTGGGTAACTACTGTCATATT